CCCAGGACAGGTGAGAGGCCAGGAAGCCAGCCACCCACACCTGGAAGAGAAAGAGTGCACAGACTGTGCTGTGTGTTTCCTGGGCATTCTTCATGGCCTTGCTAAATGGAATTACCTCAAAGAACATCTGAATCCCGTTCACTCTCTGAGACCCACTTTAAGTCCCACCCCTCCAGAGAAGCCTCCCCTGACATCTCACCTGCGCACTCCCATCCTCTCCCACCCCCAAAGTCCTGTGGTGCTGAATGCCTGTGCCATCTGCGTGAACACTAAAGTACCCTGACTTGTTTGAAGGGTCTTCAAAAAGTTCATGGAAAATATGTATTATGAAAAGACTATGCATCGATTTAAAATTTTTTTGCACCCACATAAACTCCTATTAACCTGTTATAAAACATCTGAACAGGATGTAGTTTGAGACACTAAGAAGGATAAGACATCAGTTTGAGAAAACCCCTATTAGAGCAACATGAATTCTGCTAAAACAGAACAAATATCAAGTTTATGGTGGAGCTTATGTGGAGGGTGGAAGAGTAGAGACATCACTAATGCTTTACAAAACTTTACAGAAGCTTTATGGGCAATGCCCCAAAGAAATTAGTAGTTTACAAATAGATAACTCATTCTGAAAAGGGATGAGATGATGTTGAAGATGAAGCTCACAGCAGTAGATCATTCACATCAGTTTGTGGGGAAAGAATTCATCTTGTTTGTGCCCTGCAGGGAGTTAGCTACACTCCCAGCAAAGAATCGGGTCCCTTAGGTGGGGTCATCGCAAAGGATAAGAAAATAATAGAAAATGGAGAATAATAGAAATAAAAGAATACACAGAGACGAAGGTATAGTTTTATAGATTTATAAAGATAAAAAGCAAAAAGCGGGATAGTCAGGGGTCCTTACGATATCCCCGTTAATTGTAAGACCCAGAATAAAGTTTCACATGGGCATTTATAGGTACAGAGATCAGTTGCCAGGGGTAACAGATTTACATAATAACAGGTAGTTCGTTTTGGGTTAAAAGTCGTTTTTGTTTTTTTTTTTTGAGACAGAGTCTTGCTCTGTTGCCTGGGCTAGAGTGCTGTGGCATCAGCCTAGCTCACAGCAACCTCAAACTCCTGGGCTCAAGGGATCCTTCTGCCTCAGCCTCCCAAGTAGCTGGGACAGGCAAGCACCACCGTGCCCGGCTAATTTTTATATATATATTTTTTTAGTTGTCCAGATCATTTCTTTCCATTTTTTTAGTAGGGACGGGGTCTCACTCTTGCTCAGGCTGGTCTCGAACTCCTGACCTTGAGCGATCCACTCACCTCGGCCTCCCAGAGTGCTAGGATTACAGGCGTGAGCCACTGCACCCGGCCTGGGTTAAAAGTATTTCAAAAGGCTTCTATAGATCCCTTAACTAACTCTGGTTACAAAATCTTTCAAGGGCAAACTTCTAAGTTCGAAGATAAAGCTATCACTTAACAAAAGGGTTAAACAGATATAGTAGCTCCATATTTCTTTATCTAGTTATTGCAGACAGAGACAGGTCATCAGAAGTCAAGCAGGAACTGTCCCTTGGGCTAATTGTTTTTAGCCACAGGTATCTGTCTCTGGGAGGACACTCTTTGATCAGCTCTCATCCCGTGATTCCATGTAGACCTTGCTTTGTCCTTCAAAACAGGTGAGAACCACGGGGTTGAGACCACAGCATCACCTTGGAAAGCAGCTGCTGCTGACCTTTTGAGATGCCCTGCTGAGGCGGAGCAGCTTTTGATATGCAAACTAACATGTTCACATATTCTTTCAGGGCAGAGCCCTGCAAAACTCCTGGAACCATTTCTGTCTCTAATATAGTTACATTAATTTATGGAGCAACAGTGCCCTAATTGAAGAGGACCAATGATTAATGGCACAAACAATAGCCAACACCGTAGACATCTCAATTGGCTCAGCTTACACGATTCTGACTGCAAATTTAAAGTTGAGCAACTTTCCACCCAATGGATGCCAAAACTGTTGCACCAGATCACCTGTAGACAAGACCAGAGCTTTCAATGGAAATTTTAAAGAAATGGGATCAAGATCTGGAAGCATTTCTTCAAAGAATTGCTTTCAATTCAAAGAAATGTGGCTAACAGTACAATCCTGAAAACAAAGCACAACCAAAGCAATGGCTACCGAGAGGGGGGACGCGGTCCAGTCACAGCAAAAGCAGACTGGTCAAGAGAGAAGATCAAGACAGCAATTTGGGGGGATGCTCAAAGCATTTTGCTTGCTGACTTTCTGGAGGGCCAAACATGATAACATCTCCTTCTTATGAGAGTGGCTTAAAAAAGTTAGCCAAAGCCTTAACAGAAAGACACCCAAGAAAGCTTCACTAAAGAGTTCTTCCCCACCATGATGCTGCTGCTGCTTAGTTCTCTCATCAAACAAGGGCAATTTTTCAAGAGTTTTGATGGGAAATCATTAGACATCTACCTTACAGTCTTGATTTTGCTCCTTCTGACTTCCTTTTATTTCCTAATCTTACAAAATCTTTAAAGGGCCCCCATTCTTTCTTCAGTTAATAATGCAAGAAAGACTGCATTGATATGGTTAAATCCACAGGACCCTCAGTTTTCAGGGATGGATTAAATGGTTGGTATCATCGTTTACAAAAAATGTCTTGAATTTGATTGAGCTTATATTGAGAAATAAAGTTTATATTTTTTATTTTTATCTTTTAATTCCATTTTCTATGAACTTTCTGAAGTCCCCTTGCGCTGTTAGCTATAAATTTTTTGTCTGCCTGTGTCCTTTCTTTCCCATTTCCAACCCTTTGTGATCTCTCCTGTCTTCATGATAATCATGTGTGGACTTGGGATATCTCTGACATTCTGGTTGGTAAACCCTACCCTGTTCCAGACCAGGTTTAAGGGAGCTCTTTCATTATTGTAAGTGTCTGCAGCATTCTTAATTACCTTTTCATTTGGCTTTGCAAGCTGCCTTCCCATCCAGAACACATGTCCTTTGAGAAGTGGTCTCCTGTAATCCCAGCCTCCATCGTAGAATCTGCCCAACTTCCCATGGAGGTACTCAGTGGCCATGAACTGCTGGACACTGAGCAAGGGGCTAGTGCCCCAATCCAACTTATCTTCCTCTCTTGCTAGTCACTTGCTTAATACCCTTTACTTCTCTTTTACTACAGTTACCATGATTTATATCACATATTCACTTATTTGTTAAAGCCTCTCCCCACCAGCTGGGAGACCTATTTTGTTCTTCACCGTATCCCCCGTGTGCAGTGCCTGGAGCCTGGTGGGGCTTAGTACAGACTAGTTCAATAAATGCATTATCAACACATCAGCTTGGTCACTGGAGGGGAGGGCGAGGGTGGGGAGAGGAGAGTTAGGATCTGGGACTCAGCAGCTTTCTGAGTGCTTCAGCTGTGAAGAGAAGTGAGGTCAGCTGCAGATGGACTGTGGGATAATGGAAAACGCACTGGCTGAGAAGTCAGGGACCTGAGGGTCAGGCATTTTCCTGCACTAAGGTTTATTTTTCTGTGTAACCTTGAGAAAGTCTTGTAAGCCTTGAAGGAGATGTTTTTGTGAGATTGGTGTGTAAACCGTAAAGTGGAATGGTAGGATGTTATTCATCACCCTAAGATCTGCTCCCAGTCTATTTATCCAAATATATTTCTTATTAATTTAATTTAGCTAGGCCAGTCTTCTCTCCCTATTGCAAAAATAATACACTGTAATAACAAAAATATTAGAAAATTCAGAAGAAAATAAAAATCATTCCCTAAGATTACCATCTAGAATACTAGTTATATGGTATTTATAGCCTAAATCATTTTTTCCTAAATGAGTGCGAGGCGTCAGTGGCCTGAGGCCGGGCACGGCAGCTTCCCTCTCCCGTTTGCCCACTGCACTGGGACGCTGCCAGAGGGTGGAGCCTCCCCACTTTGTCTGCTGTCAGCATCCCCGTAGCGATGCCAGTGGGGCAGGGGACAGAGGGGGTTATCTTGCCCAGCACTCTCCACTCTCTGAAAGTGCTTACTTGGTCTGTATAGTAATGGTTTGTCTCTCCCCACCGGAATATAAGCTCTGTGAGGACAGAGCTTGCTGGATTTGCCTACTGCGGCCTTTGACACCTGAAAGAGTGTCTGTGCAGAGTGACTATTCATCAAATGAACGAATGAGTGAACACGCAAGCACTGTATTACCTCATATAGGGTAGGAAGCACCTGATGAATATTTGCCTCCGACGAATTGTGCATATGAGAGTCACAGAGGCCGGATTTGTTGGTAATATATATCTGGTCTGCCAGATCTAGCTACAGTTTAGCTTTGGTCCCAGCAAAAAGTACAATAAATAATCCCCATCCCCATCGCAATCACTACCGCCACCTCTGGTCATCTCCAGCATGATCTCAGACCACGCTACGTAGAACGTGGCCAAAGCATTTTGCAGAGCTCCTCTCCGGGTTCGGTCTTCACGCTCCCAAACTGCCCTGTGCAAGGAGGCCCATATTCTCCCTGTCCCAAGGCCTGTCCCCTCCAGTGCCTTTTGGCTTGCTCTCCTACAGGCCTTAGGCTTGCTTATGAGTCTTGGTGCATTTCTGCCATAAAGAGGGCCGTGATTCCAGCCACAGTTCTGCAGCTCTGTCTTCAAGGTGAGCTTCCATGGCGCACGCAGACAACATCTGTGGATTAGATGCAAAGAATTTCAAGAACCATGTGGAGAGCTGGGGCTTCTGGGAAGGGGTGTCCAGTTTGCCCTGAGGCTACCCGTTCTCCTGCACAAAGGTCTGCTCCCATCAGCTGGACACAGTCCCCGGACTCAGGATCGCTAAGCAGACTTACCACGGCTATCTCTCCATTTGCCCTCCGCTTCTCTAAAACCTGGAAGAGGATGAGACTAGGCCTGTTTTCTTCTGGAACATTGCAACCCAAGAGGAGGGATGTTTCATAAAGCCTCTTCCACTGTGGCTCTCAGTGGAAAACAAGGTGTAATTCATGCCTATGTGTTTCCTGGGTGGGATTCAAATCACCAGTGGCAAAAGTCCTTTCTAGATGTTGAGAGTTACAGGTCCTCTGAGGAGGCAGGACCTGCGAGGTGAGGGAGGGAACAAAAGGCAGATAAGCTGTGAGCATTTTATCTGTCCCCAAGGACCCTTGGCTGCAGGCCCTGACTGGCCACTTCTCATGGCCATGAGGATCAGCAGTGGGCCCTTACATCCGGGCAACGGAATTCACCAGACTGGCCATTTCTCCCAGCCTTCTTGAGGATTGTTTCTTAAATACTAGATGACTAGTTCCCTTAAGGGAGGCCTCTGGGAGAGGCAGTTTGTCGCTTTACCCAGCCCTTTTATACGTGAACAGAAGAGCCTGGGACTTTGCTGGCCTCTCTCTGGGAGGAGCTGCTCTGCAGCTGCTTGACACTCATGGTGCTAACTCCACTGTGGAGCTGCCCGCTCTCTCCTGCCCTCCTTCCCCTGCTCCCAGCCTTTCCCATGGCAATGAGGAGGTATGTTTGCCTTGCGGTATGCATCGCTTTAACGTCCACTGTCTCATCTGAACCTGCTCCAATGGGACAGGCAGGGAGGAAACCGATACCCCACTTTTTCAGAAAAATGGCCAACTTCCCAAGGTCACAGTGTGGTGAAGTTAGCACTCGAACATGAGTTTTTGATGCCTGGTCAGACCCTTTCTAGGGTACTGTGTTCCTGCTGGCCTCTTGGCAGAGGAGCTGGGATAGGAAGGGGAAGGGAGAAGGAATGCCAGCTAGAGGTTTGATGGGGAATGGTTGGGAACTTGCTAAGATACCAAGTGGGGTTGCCTTTGCAGGCTGATTCATTGCTTTCCTTGTTTTTCTCTCATTTTCTGCCATCTACTAAAATTCATGATAAGCATATACTATCCAAACTTATGGTGATTTGAACAAGACTGTGACTTGGGAGAAAATGTTAGACTCTAGCCCTTTGGGTGGCTCCTTACCCCACAACAGCTTAGCACCTTGTGTGTTGAACCCCAATTACTACAGATGCTGGTACCAGGAGTGGGGTGCTATTGTAACTAATACCCAAGAAGGTGAAAGTGGCTTTGGAACTTGGTAATGGGTAGAGGCTGGGAAGTTTTGAGGTACATGCTAGAAAAAGCCCACATTACCATGAACTGACCTTTAAAGGAGCTTCTGGTGAGGGCTCAGAAGGAGAGGAGGAGAACTGTAGAGAAGGCCTCAGTTTCCCCAGAAAACACCTAAGTAATCCTGGGCAGAACATCGCTGGGAACATTGATGATAAAAGCCATTCTGATGAGGTCTTGGATGGAAATGAGAAACATGTTATTAGAGACTGGAGGAAGGGCCATCGTTGTCATAAAGTGGCAAAGAACTTGGCTGAATTATTTTCACTTTCTAGTGTTTTGTGGAAGGTAGAGCTTGTGAGTGATAAAATTGGATATTTGGTTGAGGAAATACCTAAGCAAAGTCGAAGAAGTGGCCTGGTCCCTCTTGACTGCTTACAGTAAAATGTGAGAAGAGGAAAATTACTTAAAGAAGGAATTGTTAGTAAAAGGGAAGAAAAACTTAAAGGTTTGGGGCACACTTAGCCTATCCTTTCAGGAACGGAAACATCTGTCTTGTGCCTGTCCCACCATTGTATTCTAGAAGCACGTAACTTTTTTGATTTCATAGGTCAACAGCTGGCAAGCAATTTGTCTCAGAATGAATAATACCTTGAGTCTCACCCATATCTGATTTAAGTGATATTTAGATGAGATTTTGGACTTAAGACTTTTGAGTTGAAGGTGTAAAAAGTAAAGACTTTTGAGGCTGTTAGGATGAAATGAATGTATTTTACATGTGAGAAGGACATGAATTTTGGGGGACCAAGGGTAGAATGCTATGGACTGAATAATTGTGTCACCGTAAAATTCATATATAAAAACCCAGACCCCAAGGTGGATGGTATTAGGAAATGAGGACTTTGAGAGGCAATTAGGTTATGAGGGCAGAGCCCCCAGAATGGGATTACTGTCCTTACAAAAGAGGTCCTGGTAAACTCCCTAGCCGTCTTGCACCATGTGAGAACACTGAGAAAAGTCACAGTCTGCAAACTGAGAAGGGGACCCTCATAGAACCCAACCGTGATCTCAGACTTCTAGTCCAGAACTGCGAGAATTAAATTTATATTGTTTATAGACCACCCTGTCTATGGTATTTTTTTATATCGGCCGAAATGGACTAAGACATTATTAGTAAGACTTAGCATAGCCAAAGGGAAAAGGCGTGCCAGAGGAGTGAGCATTATGTTGAAAGATGTCAAGGCACAAAAGAGCTGAGAGAATAGGAGATAATTCGGAAGGAAGAAATGTGGTAGGGGAGATGAGAGATAACTCCGAAGAGATGGCAGAGGTCCTGCATTTGGGATTTATCCTGAAAGCAGTGGGAGGACGTGAGCAGGTCCTCATTTTAGATAGCTCTCCTTGGCAGTGTTGTCATGGCTTCGTTTAACAGTTTTCTGGAAATCAGTTTGGTAATATGTCTTAAGAGCCCTTAAAATGTGCATATAAAATACTATTTGGCTCAATAATACTCCATCTGGGAATAATAATAACAATCACCTACCATGTAGGGCTTATTGTACCAGGTATTTTTTGATATGCTGTGCACATTATTTTTGGTAATCCTTACAACAATTCTGCAAAGTAAGAATCATTAGCCCAATTTTACAAGTAAAGAAGCTGAGGTTTAAAGAGTCAGGCAGATTTAAGATTGAATCCATGCACTCTCATTAATCAGCTGTTTTCCTATGAAAATTGCTTAACTTTTCTGAAACAGCTTTCTGATGTGCTACTATTAATATTAAAAAAATTAAAATGCAAACCAGATTTAAATAAAAACTCCTCTTTATTGGATTATCTGCTCATTTGGATTATCTCTGCCATAGCTGACCTTCAGGCTCTTAAACATTTGAGAGTAGCTTCTGCTTCAAAAATTAAGTAAATGAATCAGAATCATGTGGCATGAAGAGTTAGGGGAGAGTGGCTTCATTCTGGGGTCCACTCTGAGAGTTGTTTGCTCCTATGGTTTTTATCGTGTACACACACGTGGCTCTTATCCCATCCTCTACCTCCACTATTTGTACCTTGTCCCCCTGATAGATCATAAGTTCACTGAGAAATGTTGGTTGTAAATACATCTCTGTATCAGCCACCGCAGCTGCCTGGTTTAGTGCCTTTCACGTGGTCAAGGAGAGTGCAATGACCACTTTTTCCAGAAGCAGTTGGAACATCATGATCCAAGGAAAAAGAGGGGCTTTGAGAATACAGAGCTAAAGGCGGGGGCATGGAACAAACACAGAAAAGATAGATATTTAGGGCTGGAGACTTGAAAGGGAAGACTTGGAACTAAGGGAACCTGGGAGAATGTATTCTATAGAAAATACACAGCGTTTTCATTAGCGCTGAGTCAGAAGAGTTGTCTTAGATTGGGTCCCCAGAAGCCAACCCTGAGAGGAAGATTCATACATAGGTGATGGATTAGGAAGTAAGTACTCCCAGGAGCACCTGGTAAGGGATGGGGAAGCAGGACAGGAGAGGGGAAGAAGCCAGAGTGAGGTCTCAGCAAAGTTCCAGCCTCTGGTCCCACAAAAGTGTTCTAAAGTGTAAATCACAACAGAGTTTGTCCCCCCTGGAGGCAGGAATACTGGGCTTTCATAATCCCACACCAGTCAGTCACTGGCTAAGGGCTATTTAGAGGAGTGGGAGAAACTTCCAGGCACTTCTGGCTCTGACCATGTGGACAAAGTGGCTCCAATAGCCCAATGGTCCACCTTCTAAAAGTGGCAGGTACAGGGAGTTAGAAGCAAAAGCACACAGAAGCTGGGGGCAGGTGCACAAATATCCGAGGGTATCTGGGTGGAGCATCGATAATGTCAACTTGGTAACAGGTTTGCAGCCCTGTGTCCAGGTATACCACACTGGTGTATCTGCTGCTAAAACCCATGAACGATTTTATGCAATTTCCTCATCTATAATGCGAGGATAGTGTGACTTGACTTGCTTATATCACAGCATGATTGGAAAAACAAAACAAAATAAGATGTGGTGTATAGAATCATGCAGACAATGATAAAACATTGTGCAAAACCAGGTGTCATTAGTATGTCTTCTTTTTCCAGGCCCAGAGTATATATTATTATAGCACTTGGCCCTCTCCAGGTGCTTGTCTTGCAGGAATCAGCGCTGACAGCCTTTGAAAAGAGCTTGTTCATGTTGAGAAAAAAATCAGACACTTTTTTAATGTTGATAAATTTTGCAGCAGTTTCTTTAATATATACCAGCTGCTTTGAAATACGTCTAATTAGCCACCAGATATCATGCTGTGGCTATGTTTGGCTTTGATGTTCTCATCAGCTTCAGCAAGGAAATATTGAAAAGCTAATCATAACAGGACTTAGTTCTTATAAAATGCCTTTTATCTTCAAAGTGGTTTACAACCACTAATTATTAGAGGAATTAGAGTGAACAGCAACCATCTCATGGAGACCTCAAACCATTATTAAGGCCTTTAATGTATCTCGTAATAGAGCAAGAGAAGTGTGAAGGGGGATATTTAATAATAGTTGTCCAGACCTGGAAGAGTTATTTTATAGAGGTAGGAGACAGCTGTTCCCTCTCTCCCTGGAGGCTAGAACAAGGAAATGGGACCTAATTTGAGGAGGAAGGATGCTGGATGGAGCATTGCAGAAGCTACAGCAGGCTGCAGAGTGGAAAGATTGCCCTTCTCAAAGGCAATCAAAGGCAATTCCACACACCTGCCCCTTTATATGGTGCTCTCCTGTGTGGCCGCGGTAGGTGAGATCACACCACGATGTCCCATCCAGGTGGGGGAGTCAATGGCAGATTTGTGGACCTCTTGATTGTATCTTTTCATGTCATTCTGTGCGCATGTTTTGCTCTTTTGTTTATTGGTTTTTTAATTAGAATATAATCTGGGGTGGAAGAAGCCAATTTGATTTCAATAATAATAAATATTAGCTAACACTCTTAAGGTACCACTCTAGCCCTTCATCTTACAGATGAGGAAAGTAAAGTTCAGAGAGCTTGGGAAAC